TGTCTCTGTGTCTCTGTCCCTCTTTCCTCCCTCCTCCTCCTTCCTTCCCCTTCCTCCCTCCTCCTTCCCTCCCTCCCTCCCCCGCTCAATCCTTCGCTCTGTCTCTGTGTCTCTGTCCCTCTTTCCTCCCCTGTCCATCTGTCCTCCTCTCCATTGTTTTCCTCGCTCCCTCCCTTTCCCCCTCCCTCACTCCCTGTCCTCCCTCCCTCCTTCCATCCTTCTGTGCCTACACTCCTGATGGCTTCCCTCCCATCCTTCCTTCCTCCCTGCCTCCCTGCCTCCCCTCTCTTTGTTCCTGCTTCGAGGATGGTTATGAACAGTGACGCAGGGCAGCCACGCGATCTGTGTGTCGGTGGTATTCCTGCTTCGAGGATGGTTATGAACAGTNTTCCTGCTTCGAGGATGGTTATGAACAGTGACGCAGGGCAGCCACGCGATCTGTGTGTCGGTGGTATTCCTGCTTCGAGGATGGTTATGAACAGTGACGCAGGGCAGCCACGCGATCTGTGTGTCGGTGGTATCGGCATAACGGGAGGGGGAAGTATGCTTGCCTTTTGTACATGTTGTAATTTGAAGCTTTAAAGTCCCATTCGTTCCGTTTCTGATGGTTGCTTAGTCGTGAACATGGGTGTGTGTTCACTGTCATCATCATGTGCCATGTAATGTATCGCTTTTACTTACACGCGACGGCGATGTTGTCCGGTTGTTGGTTCGCAACACTGCAGATGGTACTGAACGCGTTCGAGGTATCACAGGGTGACAAAGGCGCATTGTAGTCGAGGAAAGGCGATATGGTGTGGACCACCACAAGATTCTCATGGTGTCAGCAGCAGTTTCCATTGATCAATGTGTAGACGATGTACAGCGGTCATGTGACATGACCTGGTAAACTTATCAATGGGTTACTATTTTGTTCGATTGTAGTGCTGCTCTAGTCCGCGAAGAGAGGCATGAGAGGTGGGTGTTGCGGGAGATAGGTAATTGGAGTGCTGCTCTCATCTTCAAAGAGAGGCGTGAGAGGTGAAAGCTGCGTGTGGTGGGGACCACCACGATATTTATCGGTAGTCGATTGTGGTGTTCACAACTGTACACGTGGGTGTTGTGGGAGATAGGTAAGTGGAGTGCTGCTCTCGTGAGACCTGTGGTGACCTGCCTGTGGTGGGGACCGCCACAATAACTATCGGTAGTCGACTGTGGTGTTCGCAACTGCAGCTCTTAAATTGTTAGGTGAGGTTGTTTGATGCCAAGGACCACCATTAGACAGTTCAGTGTCCATAGCTCCTCAGAAGACGTTTACTTCAACTTTCTCGCTGTTTCGATTTTGATGCCTGCTTTTATGCAAAAGCTGTGATTGAGGTCGCAGTGGAGGCATATGCTTCTGCACCAGCGCTGGGAAATCCCAGCAAGGTGCTTTGCTGCTGCTGTTGCTATTCGCGTTTCGATTGATTTGATGAAAAATTATGATGTGAGCCGCCCATTGTGTCATCTTGTTCTCAGCATCGTTCGTTTTGTTGGCTCGTCACGACAAAGTCCCTCGTGGCGGTTTGGTATTTTATTTCCTCTCTCAACTCTTCGATAGCAGTCAGCCACTGGCTAGTCACGACAAAGTCGCTCATGGCGGTTTGGTATTTTATTTCCTCTCTCAACTCTTCGATAGCAGTCAGCCACTCATCCATAAATCTTATGGTGTCAGCAGTTTCCTATTTTTTTTTTATTTTGTTGTAGGTGTCAGCAGTTTCCATTTTTTTTTTTCTAAGTGTCAGCAGGTTCTCCACTGTAGGTTGTTGTTGTCAGGCTTTCGCTGGCTGTTTAGAAAGTTAAAAAATATTTAAAAACTGCAAAGCTGCAGGTGGCTCTTTCTTCCTCTCTGCTTCTTTCGATTGAAAGTCGAAAGTCTTTCTTCCTTTATTATTAAGTGGTTATTTAACTTTTAAAAGAAAGGTGTTAACGTATTTTTATTCTGTCAGTGTTTTCGCCGTGTTGTACATTTCCACACTTGCTGGTCGGCACCAACTCCGCAATAGCTGGTTCGGGAAAACATTGCCCAAGTGGCTGCGATGCGTCCATCCCCTTGTCCTCCGTCATCGTCCTCTATCGTTACGTGGACAGCTATTCTGCGGCAGCGCTTTAGCTGTTAGCATGTTTCGCACTTGTGGCGGTATTTTTYATATCCTAGTCGTCTTGGGAAATTTTTATGGTTTTTTTTTTTTTTTCTTCGGTCTCTTTGCTTACCTATGAGAAAGTGTCTCACTGCGGTTATCTCATATGTCATGGCTGCATGCCACAACCACACCTCTTCTCCATCTTCCTCAACGATTTACCCATGTGATGCCCGAACTCACCCCTTCCCGCTCCCCTCCCCCCCTTTCCCCCCCCCATCTCATGCTCATCTCACTGACCTCCCAACTTTGCCTGTTGAAGATCTGGAACCCTAGTTGAATAGACTCATCTAGCCTGTTGAAGAGATGATTGCAATGAGCCGCCACGCCTTCTGCCAGGTAGTAGATGGAGTGAAGGTTGCTTGCTTGAAAGCTGGGATTCTCCCATGGATTTTTTTGATGTGCAACTGTGCAGCTGTGCTCATAGCCCTGCATGCGTTATCATTGAAGTGTTTTTTTTTTAACCATGTATTAATTACATGTTTGGTTTTTTATATGGTCGGTTCTTTATATGTTTGGTTCTCTATACATTCAGTTCTTCATATGTTCGGTTCTTTAAACGTTCGGTTTTTGAAGTTGAGATCGCAATTTCACCGAGCTTCAGAGTTTTGATGACAGAGAGTTTAGAGTCTTAGACAGCTTACTGCATCCCCCTTTTTCTTTATTGTCATTTCTCTCTCATTGAAGTTGTGGGAGGACGAAGGACGGGGACGAATCTCTGGACGGGTAAAGTGAAGGTGATGTAGTACTAAAGGGAAATAATTATCTGTTCTGAAGAGTTTAACTTCAGAATGAAAAGGCTTGTCGTGATGGACGCAGTCATTTCAAGACGAAGGCGGCAGAAAACAGGGAAGGTTTGACTCACCGTCAGGGACTCCGAAAGGGGATTCGAGGTGAGGACTGGCCCAAGGGTAGGGAAGAGGGGAGTGCAAGGGTGTGTGCTCAGAGGTTGAGGTGCTGACTATCACTTGAAGGGGGATTGGAGAATGCCTCTGCATTTGGCTTTTTATAGAGTTTTGAATGTGTAGGATTGGTTATTGAACTTAGGGCTTCTTACACGGTGGTTTGTATGTTTTGGACAGGATAAAGTGCCAATTACCTTGAGCGCATATGTGGCTGGTACTCTCTCTCTCTCTCTCTCTCTCTCTCTCTCTCTCTCTCTCTCTCTCTCTCTCTCTCTCTCTCTCTCTCTCTCTCTC